TGACGACAAGAACCCGGGGGGGGGGGGGCATATGAGCCATGGCTGTCCACCTAGGGCATTGTCCTTGCACCCCCTGGGCAGCTGGGATGCCGTGATCCGGCCCCCAGACCCTGCCTGGCAAAGTCCCGGGGTGGGAGGATGGATGGTGCCAGCACAGACCACAGGCCTGGCTGGAACTTCAGGCAGCTGGGCTTGGGCCAGGAAGCAGACGGCTGGCAACTGGGAGGAGGACACCCTGGCTTCAGGGCTCCCCCTGTCACCTGTCACCGGCCCCCTCCCCGGGGCCTCTGTGGGCTGCAGGCGGGCGGAGCAGAGGACACCCTCTGGCGGGGTTCCCCTCCTGGCTCCACACCCCATGGCTGGGAACGCCCAGAGGGACTTGGCAGGGCTCTGAAGTGACTTTTCTTGTTAAATGGTATTTACTTGTGTGTGGGGTGGGGGCGGGGGCGGGGGAGGAATTCTTGGTTCTTTCGAGAACCCTAAGAGCTGTCAGTCCAAATGCCCGGTCCAACACTTGGCGCTCTTCGGGCCGTGGGTGGAGGAGGGCTCAGACCGGGCCCTTTGGTGCCGGCCCACGGGAGCTCGGTCCCCCGCAGTGCACCCCGACTGTCCTTGGAGGGGCCCATCGAGACGGCCATCCTCCTGAGTCTGGTGGGGGTCAGGAGCATCGTGGCGAACCAGTGGCCGACGGTCCTGCGGGACAACGCGATGCGGGCCAGCATCCTGTGGGAAAGTGAGTCGTGCCAGCAGCCGGCCCGTCCTGCAGCCCCGCGGGGCTCCTGGAAGCCTGTGGGGTGTTAACAGCCCCTCTGAAGGGATGTTTCTTCTCTAGATCTGTTGACAGCTGGCAAGCCGATCGGGAGAACGACCCGCCTCCTTCAGAAGAGGGGAACCAGTGAAACTGTCCACCACGGTAACTAGAAACGGCCCTACCTCCTTGCTCGTCCCTCAGGCTACAGGGTCAGGGGTCCCCCACTTCTCCCGTTTCTGCACAGCCTCCGAAGGTCAGCCTGCACTGACAAAGACCTTCAGCCTCCTACAGACCACTGCCTACAGTGAGATCTGGCATCGAATGTCTTTACGGAAACACACACGGGTCACTGGAACGTCTTCATCTTCAAAACAGCTCAAGTCCCACAAACGCCAAAAGCCCTGGTGTGTTCTCTGGGAGGCGGGGAGCCCACCCACTCCTCCTTCAAGGCAAATGGAACCCTGAAGTCCACGTGTAGCAGCGGCCTTACACACGGATTCTGGTGTAAAAAACTTAAATGCAGCGTGAGGGAGTCTGAGCTTTAGCAATACGTTGATTGGAGAATCTACCGTAACTAAGAAAGGTTTATCCCAGGGTGATTTAAATCATGAAATTTTCAAATATACAAGGCGAAAGGGGCTTCATATTCAAAACTCACATGGTCCACGGTGCCCGGGAGGCAGTTGCCAAACAACAAATGCTTGTGGAGCGAGCGAGCAGATGAGCGAGTGAAGGTGCGAGCGGGTGGGCGAGCTCTGGCCTGTGGCTGCTGCCTCCGCACCCGGCGTCCCCGTCCGTAGGGATGAGTGGCGGCGTCCCCGTCCGGGCTGTGACCAGCGGCAGAGCCAGCAGCACCCTCACCTCTGCTGTGCTCCCCACATGCGCCGTGAGCCTTGCTTGGGCCCCAGGCATCCTGTCCCCGTGAGCCCCGCGTTTCACAAGCCCGTCTGCTCTCCCCACAGATGAGGCTCTGCAGACCTGGAAGGACAGGCTGGTGCTCTTCCAGCCGCAGCCGCAGGGCTCGGAGCAGCTCCCCGTCACCCTCAACCTGGTGCTCTACGGGCTGCCGCACCAGGCCATCGTGTGATGGGGCCGCGCCTCCCCACAGCCCGTCCCCACCATCCGCCATCCCCCTCCCTGGTGTCCCCGGCCCCTCCGCCCGTGACCTCCTCCCAGGCTGCGCTGCCAGAGCCCCCCCCC